CTGCTTAGGCTGCTGGCCCCCACGACCCGACCCCGGATGATGGATGGATGGATGGATGGATGGATGGATGGATGGATGGATGGATGGATGGATGGATGGTTAAAAACACATTTATTATTACATTTTGTTATTATTTGCTGTATATCAGTCGAATCAACTGAAACGTTCATGTTTCTTCTCAGATTAGGACTTTATTTTCTAATAGTTTCTGCTGTTTCAGAAGGTTTTAGTGTTTCTGGATAAAAAGAGTCAGAAATGACTTGTTGACAGATTTCTCTACAGTTCAACAGCCAACGTGACTCGCTTCACTAACTCCACAACAGAGTGGCTCATGCGGGGGAGGGGGGCTAAAATTAGACTCCAACACCTGCTCAAATGAATTAAAATGACAGATTTTAGATTTCTGGTTTCAACTCATTTTTTGTTTTTGCAGAAAACAACAGAGAAAGTGGTCACTCCTCTGATGCAGAATATGTAAGAACATTTTTTTAAAAAAAGCCACATTAATAGAAAATAATCTGATGGGTTCATTTTGTTCTGGGGTTTTCCATTAAAGCCGTGTTGTTCGCAGGATAAYGAGACGTATGAAGACCCTCATAACGATGATGATGATGGCAGCTACGAGCCCCCTCCCAGCCACAGGAACTTCACCTCCACTCATTTCCCCTCCCTGCCCCGCGGGGAGTACCTCGGTAAAACATGTCACGAACCACTGGACTGACAAACTCAATTCAAGATGGCTGCCACAGCTAACGGAAGATATTGTGCTAACACTTGGTGCTGCACACAGTAAATTTTGCAGTGTTAAATCAACACTTAGAGTTAAATTTAACACTGTGTCCGAGTCTGTTTGGTCCTGATCTGAAGTGGTGTCAATTTAACTCTTTCCATAGTGTTTRATTTTCAGAGTACAATTTAACTCTAAACAGTTAAAAATTAACACTGACTAACACAGTGTTAATAAAACTTAACACTGTACAGTGTTATTAAAACTTAACGCTGTACAGTGTTATTAAAACTTAACGTTGTACAGTGTTATTAAAACTTAACGCTGTACAGTGTTATTAAAACTTAACACTGTACAGTGTTATTAAAACTTAACGCTGTACAGTGTTATTAAAACTTAACACTGTACAGTGTTATTAAAACTTAACGTTGTAGTGTTATTAAAACTTAACGCTGTATGGTGTTATTAAAACTTAACGCTGTATGGTGTTATTAAAACTTAACACTGTACAGTGTTATTAAAACTTAACACTGTACAGTGTTAATAAAACTTAACGCTGTACAGTGTTATTAAAACTTAACGCTGTATGGTGTTATTAAAACTTAACGTTGTAGTGTTATTAAAACTTAACGCTGTATGGTGTTATTAAAACTTAACACTGTACAGTGTTATTAAAGCCTAATGCTGTGCATGTTAATAAAACTTAACACTGTACAGTGTTATTAAAACTTAACACTGTACAGTGTTATTAAAACTTAACACTGTACAGTGTTATTAAAACTTAACACTGTACGTTGTTATTAAAACTTAACACTGTACGTTGTTATTAAAACTTAACACTGTACGTTGTTATTAAAACTTAAC